ACACTGTAACCGTCGTAAATGTGAGTCAGTTGACAAGCATCTGAATATAAATCACGTGACCATGGGGATGCTATAATGGTCATTAGTCTGAAAAATGATCATAAGTCACTTTTTTCAGTGCCGTTGTAACTTTGAACAGTCCCTAAGTGAAGTGTTGTAAGTCAAGGTCTACCTATATGCTTCTAGGTCCAAAGTGTCTCCCACTCTTCACCTATAATATCCCCTTATGAAGGAGGATACCAGAGAACAACTCAGGGATTTCTATTTCGTTATATAAAAGCAGAAAACTAAGTTTCTTTTTGCAACCCCACTTGCTTACCGATAAATTATGCGTGTATAATCAGGGGTGGGTTCTACTTACCTTTACTACCAGTTTGCAGTGGGGCTGCGCATGCGGGCTCGCTTCGCTCGCGCAGAAGCTTTTGCACATGCACAAAAGTGCTTTGATGATGTCGGTGTCGGTGGGCGAAGCCTCCCACCGGTTTTACTACCAGTTCTATAGAACCGGTGCGAACCGGGGGCAACCCACCACTGCCTTAAATGTCTTGTAGTGCTTGGATCTGCATTAAATCTAATGTAACTACAGCAGAGCATACAGAAAAATCACTGTTGTTATTTTACACCTGCCAGCCTCAGAAGAATGCAGATTGAGACTAGTGGCATACAGTACTGTTTTTGTCTATGGTATATTTAGCATCTCATCTGAAAGTAAGGCTCCCTTTTTTCCCTTTCAGCTCAGTTAGGAAAGAATGTATGTTTTCTTTGGCTTTCTTCCCTGCTTCTTACAAGAGGAAAAAAATAAACTTGATTTCGAGGAGAAATTAATCAGAAATGTCCATACAGTAATCTGTTAGAATTAGCAAGTAAAATAAAAACAGTAAGTTTTAAAACAAAGTGTGAATTCTGGTTTTCTGTGAGACAGATTTCTTCCTGTTAAAAATTGTATACTTTTAAAAGTGTGTGTGTGTGTGTGTGTGTGTGTTTGGCATGGATAAATACATTCAACTACTGTCTGTATAAGGTCTTAGTCATCCTAATTTGTATCTCTGTTGGAGAAGTGTGGGAATGAACATTTGGAACAGTAAAATAACCCAGCATAGTATCAAGCGAATGCTGAGATACTGAGCCAAAATGCACAGATCAGGCTTAGTGCCAGCGCTTGAATCACCAGCCACTCTACCACTATATTAGTAATTAGGTACTTTGTTTTGTGTTTCATTGACCTCTTTATTCTTTTAAAGGTATAATTTCTTTATTTGCAAAGCAATTCACTGGCTAATTAGAAGTCTGAGACAATAGTGAGATTTTAATCTGTTTTTATTTTTCAATCCCTTTTATTACTGCTTTTTTGCTCATGGAATAAATAGCTATTTCCTTATAAGGTTAGGAATGATGTGGTGCACTTTAAAATTTACGGTAATTTCTTGTCCTTTTAACAAAGCTTCCCCATGACTTGTTACATTATCCTCAGCAGTTTGTGGGCTGAGATCCATGAAACTTGGAAGGAGGAGAACATTAAGAACAATGACACTTAGTGGGTAGACAAGCTTGGGAGCTTTCTCTTACAGGCTGTCAACTGTGTCAAGCCTCCTTCAAAAGAGTGGAAAAGCAAACTGTCCATGTTTGACATTCTCTGGTTCTGGGGTTTTTGAACAGGCTTTGGGGTGGGAGAATTTTTAACTTGCTACAATGATTCCTTAGAAACTAAGGATGGAATAAATCTATTCATTTTCTAGATTTTGAAATTTTGATTTTCATGTTTTGATATACTCATCCCATTATAGAGGCAGATTGATCTGTACCTGTTTTGGATTCCTTTTGGGGTTTTGCTATTTTTATTCCATTATGGAATACGGAGAAGTTGTCAAACCAGACGTTTCCCTGGTAACTCTAGTTTTAAATATTGAATTTCAAACTAGTATATTTATATATAGTTTTATTAAGAATTTTGATTATAATAGTAAAATCTAACAATTTTCTCTGTATAGCTTTTTACTATCTCTTTCAATTTCTTTAAGCTTATAAATAGTTTTTCTTTGGTTCAAAGCTTAAAATAAACTCATCAATGAAGATATTTGAAACTTTTTATTCTGATAGCTTTAAAGTTAATAGGAAATTTCCAAAAGTGATTAAAAAGGGAGGTTTGCAATCTTAGCGTCCTTGAAAAAGCTCGTTTGCAGTTGTGGGGAAGATGGCTAAACCTTTGTCTCCCAGTGCTCCAATTCATAGAAAACCTCTGTCCTGTGATTGGCTTGTGAGGAGCAATCATCCAGAGTTTGTGTGATTGATCTCCCATCCTGTCCTTATATGGAGAGGTTCCAAGGAACTCACAGTTGTCTTCTCTTTGCCATTCGTCCCCCAGGAGTTAAAATCATATCTGAATGATCAAGTAAATTTTGAGTTAAATTCTAAATCAGAAATTCAAATAGTTTGATTCTCAACTGCCACATGTTAGCCGGGGTGAAATCCAGCAGGTTCTGGAGAACTGGTAGCGGAAATTTTGAGCAGTTCGGAGAACCGGTAGTGGAAATTTTGAGTAGTTCGGAGAACCGGCTAATATCACCTCTGGCTGGCCCCAGAGTGGGGTGGGAATGGAGATTTTGCAATATCCTTCCCTCAGGAGTGGGGAGGGAATGAGGATTTTGCTTTTACAATGTGATTTTGTCTTATTTTCTGCACTGTCATTGCCTATTATAATCACTGTTGTTTATTTTGGTTATGTTAACCTTCAGAATTTGCTCCATCCAAAAGGTTAATTTCTTCCAAACATACATAATAAAAGACAATTCTGGTGTGGTTAAAAAAATGAGACTTGTACAGTATTTGGTGGACCACATGCTCTGTTTTAATTGTTTTACTTGCTTCTGAAGAATTCATTGTACAAAGCAAACAGGACTTCTCTTTTAGAGTGGCATATTTTCCTCTTTGGCTTCAGTAGCTACTGATTCAATACAGTAATACAATAATGACAGTCAGCGGTGGGTTCTAAAATTTTTTATTATCTGTTCTGTGGGCTGGCTTATTTTGTGGGTGTGGTTTGATGGTCATGTGACAATTCTTTAGGATTTAGCAGAGGTACTGGTTTACCAGGCTTTTAACTACTTGCAGAACCGTACTGGTCTACCCATTTGTTCTTGGAGCGTTCCGGTCTACCCATTTGTTTTTGGAGGCCCCAGTCTACCCATTTGTTTTTGGAGCACACCAGTCTATCCATTTGTTTTTCGAGCACACTGGTCTACCACAACACTGCCTTTTAACACTGATCAGCTGTAGGGCGGCCCTTTGAAGCCCCATGGCAAGAGTTTAAACAGTTTTTTTCCTTGTAGCCAATCAGCTGGGACTTGGGAGGCAGCGAATAGATTGGAGGCGGGGCCAAATAAAAGGTAAGAATAATGCGGGGGGGGGGGGCGGGAGGGCCCAGCTCCTGAACAAAGAAAACCGGTTCGATGACATCATATCATCACCGCTACTGGCTCGGCCGAACTGGGAGGAACCCACCGCTGATGACAGTGCAGAAAATAAGACAAATTAATTCAATAGGAAAATAAGGACCATAGAAAAGTCTCGCATTGCAGGAAGACTCTCCTGTCTTTCTTCTTCTGTACCCACCACTTTCAATATTATGTTCCTTTTCTGGGTCTTAGCAGCTCTTTCCCACTCCTGCTGCTCCCTGCTTTGCTTCTGAACTGATTCTGGGCATCTGTGGTCTTTGGGAGGTACATATACAAAGGTGGAAGGGTGGTTTTACACACTTGGGTGATAAACAAGATAATACTTATATAGTAATGCCTAAACTCTTGCCTAGTATCCACAAAACCTACTTGTGTTAGGAAATGACTCTGAATTTTCAGAAATGAATCAATAAAATATCTTATGCCACCAGACTTCAAATTTTGAGCTTAGACAACTTAGAACTACGCTGACTTCGGTCTGACTTAAGTGTATTACGTAAAATTATCTGCCACAATGTCCTACCTGTCAATGACTACTTCAGCTTCAACCACAACAATACACGAACAAATAATAGATACAAACTCAAGATAAACCGCTCCAAACTCGATTTCAGAAAATATGACTTCAGTAACAGAGTGGTCAATGCCTGGAATGCACTACCTGACTCTGTGGTTTCTTCCCCAAACCCCCCAAACATTAACCTTAAACTGTCTACTGTTGACCTCACCCCATTCCTAAGAGGCAGGGATGGGTTCTACTTACCTTTACTACTGGTTCGCAACAGGAGCACACGCATTCGCAGATAGTCAATTATGACCTCCGGGTGGGTGGGCGGAACCTCCCACCGCTTTTACTACAGGTTCTAAAGAACCGGACAGAACCGGGAACAATCACCACTGCTAAGAGGACTGTAAGGGGCGTGCATAAGTGCATCAGCTTGCCTACCGTCCCTGTCCTAATATTCCTTTTTACTCTTACTCTTTTCATGTATTCAAATTATGTTTATACTTTTACCTGTTATCTTATATATGCTTGACAAATAAATAAAATAAAATAAAATTAAAATAAAACTGAAATCTGGTGCTCTATTAAATAAGCAAATAAATCTATGGCTCATCTTATAGCCTAACAGCACATATATTCCAGGACTGTTAATGAATTTAATTAGCACCTAACTTCTAGATGCTTTTTGTATAACAATATTAATGATTATGTGGGCTGATCTGTGGAAACAGTGATTGTGATTTGCTATGTAGGAGTAGGAGGCTAAAATTTAGTGGATTTGTTCCTTTCCTATTCTAGGGTCCTATAATAAGCTTTTTCTAAGCAGTAAATAATAAGCTTTTTAATATATTAAAATGCTGCAAAGTGTTTTCAAATGTGGTGGATATTTTTATTTATGTATGTATGCCTCTTGAAACAAATGCAGATCATTTCTGAGGCTGTGCCTGCCAGTTATTCTACTGCTCTTATATGATGGTGTTTCATGTGATGTCTGTGACCTTTGTTATCTTCTGAGTTTTTAATGCTGATCTTCCTTTCTACAGGGACATTTGTATCAGCTTTCACAGTCTTGTGTGGAGCCCGGACGGATCTCCCTGACAGACACATTTGTTGTGTGTTCTGGTTGAATATTGCAGCAGCTCTGATTCAGATTCTCACAGCAATTGTGATGGTTGGCTGGATCATGAGTATATTTTGGGGGATGGACATGGTCATTCTTGCCAGTAAGTTTTTGTTCATTTTTGTTTGTTATTCTAATTATTAAGAATTAAAGTGAGCTTGTGGGAATTGGGATAGAAGTGGGTCCTAGTTAAATCAAATAGTTCTCTAACAGCTAAAATCTCTTTTTTGTGTGAGTTGATACCTTGATGGAATCTATTTGCGGAAACAAGCTAAAGATGCTTCCTTCTCTTTTTCCCTAATATTATCTTTGAACAAAAACAACATTAGGATATAGAGATCAGCTTTTGTCATGGAGTGACCTCCAAAACACTTTCTTTCACATTCTTTTATAAATGTACCATACTTGTTCTCTATACTAGTCAAGCAGTTGGCTCCCAGTAACCATAAATGGTGCATAAAGGCAATCACGATTTATCCATTTTTTAAAAAATTAATCAGTTTGGCCATCTCAATTACCAAAGGAATTCTAGGCAGTATGCAGCAATATAATAAAAACAGATTAAACAAACATAACAAATCTAACAAAAAACAATGTACCAGTAGAGCTTCTCATTAGGGAAATGTTAATATAATTATATGGCTAACAAATATCATAAACTGGGTCACAAAGGAGCCTATCCAGGGGCCTGATCAAAAAGCAAGATCTTCAAGGCTTTCCTAAAGACAACTGGGTCCCAAGTAATGCTCTTTCAGAGGGCAGTGGCAGACAAAGAGAAGGGGTCTCTGGGGTCCCATAAGATAACACTTCCTTCATCTATGGGATCTGGAGCATGCTTATTCTACAATATTTACTAAACAAGCAAACAACCAAACCACAGAGAGAAAAAGATACTCATGTAGGTAACTAGACCCCAATTCATGAAGGTGCCAACTAGCATGTTGAATTGCAACTGTCACATGGGTGAAATGGTATACATCTGCAGCTACTCATGCTGCTTCGTTCCAACTGCAACTTCCAGGAGCAACCCCAGCTGGAGCATGTTGCAGTAGTAAATAAAAATATCTAAAACCTGAAAGACTATGAGAAAGGCCTCCCAAATCAGAAAAGAGCGTAATTGGCTAACCAAATGTATTTGTGCAGAAAGCTTTCTTGGCCATAGCTGCCACTAACCCCCCAAATTCTGCCTGGGTTACTGCAATGTAATTGAGAACTAATATTAGAAAATCTCTAAAACAGAAGGTCTTTGCATCTTCAACCATTCAGTATTGCTAGGCTTGTGAAAAAAACTCACCAAGGCTGAGAATGAAAACAAAAGTATTTCAAAACATAACTAATGAAGAGCAGATGGTTGTTTCAGTGTCAGGCTTATCTGGGAAAAAGGGTGGTTAGTGCTTCAGTTTCACAATCTGGGAAAAAGGCTCAATAATTCAGTGATCCCACCTTAATTCATTCATTCCTAAATGTAGGTAGGAATTTGGATTCTTTGGTTTCCAAGGTTCTATATCCTAACCTCTTATTTCCTGACAATAATTAAAGACATTTAATGTGACTCTTGCTTCCCTGACTGCTGAGGATTGGACAGGTTGACCCTGATCCTGTTCCTCTGTATCCAGATCCAACATCCTTGAGGCACTACAAAATATTGGCAGTGTTGCCCAATGAGCCTGGGATTGAAATAGACTATCGGATGTCACCCACATATTGACACTCCCTAACAATATTTCCAGATAACTTCACATAATACCCTCATGTAGATGTTAAATAAGAATGGGGAATGTGTTGAATCCTAAGGGCTCTTACAAAATGAGGGTTTCAGGTGTCAGGATGCTTTCCCTCCCAACACAACTGCACCCAATCCCAGAGAAACTTGGAAACTACAGTATGATAGTTGTCAGCCATTCAGTCAACAACTGTGTGTTGGCACTGAAATATGAACTTAAAACTGGTCCTTAAAATTCTAGCCATCTCCACAGTCACATGATTGCAATCCAGGCACTTGAGAGCCTGGCTCATGAGTAGCCTGTTGCAGGGAGCTGTGACCTGTGATCACCACTTGTGAACTTTTCTGTCAGATTCCCACAAGCAGAGTCCAGTAAGTTGCCCCTACCTCTTTTTCTCCGGGAGCCCATTACAGAGATATCATATTCCTTAACGCCAGTGGTGGATTGCTACCGGCTCACCCCGGATGGGGCGAACCGGTAGCGGCAGTGGCGGGAGGCTCCACCCACCCAGCCGGTCATCTCTGCATATGCACAGAAACTTCTGCGCATGTGAAGAAGCATCACACATGAGTGGTGTGTGCTCCCATGAGCGAACCAGTAGCAACTGGGTTTGAACCCCACTACTGCTTAGCGCCCCCTCCTGCCCGCACTCCATAGTGCACACCTGCTCACTGCACCCTGCCCACACCTTCTGCCAGCTTTCCCATGTTTTCCATCACCTACTGGAGTCCCTCGCTAGCTTGCTCACCCTCCCTGGCATCCATCTGCAGCTGTTCTGCCCCAGCTATGGACCCCAAAGAACACAGTACACACAAAATCCGTACAAACCTTAGTTTACTAATTTAAATCAGTCTTTTCTGAACAAAGGCTGTTAATTTAACTTCATTAACAGCCGACAAGAATCCAAAGAATAATAAATCAATTCTGAGGCACAATATTTCAGATAACTGTAATCTTACTGTGGTTGGCAGAATGCCCAGAAGAAATTTGCAGGAAAACTGATAAGAGAGAAACAAGAGCCGAATCAAGACGTGAAGGAATGTGAACGAAGTTGTTTCCTGCAAATTGCATCAGTCGTCGTCCTTCCTTAAATAGGCTAGGGGAATGGCCAATTAGCCCCAAGCCTTACTCTCGAGGAGATCTCCTCTTGAGGAGCCACTCCTGCCTTTTTGCAGCTCTGCGTGCTCGTGCATTGAGAAGAGGCTTCTCCTCTTCTTCCTCTTCACTTATGGGAGCTTCTGGAGGTTCTGAAGACTCTGGCTGAATCCCTGCCTCTGCCACCACTTCTTCTCCAGCCTCCTCATTGTCTGACTCAAGTGCCAACTGCACAGGCTGCTGGCGCAGCACCACACCAGCCTCCTCGCTGTCGGAATCAGCTACTAACTGCACAGGCTGCTGACAGGCCACAACAGCAGCCCTTACTAGCTCGCTCGTGTTCTCCAGAATCCACTTTTCAGTCTTACCAAGTAGACTAGACAGGAAACACACCCAAATAAACTAATTCTATTTTATTATGAAGCTACAACAATAGAATCTTGCAAATCTGAAAATACAGTTTTCCTGCCATCACCTTTACAGCCCAAGAACTCAGGGAGTTTCTTGCTTCACCTTGCTATACAGCTGCAGCCTATGTGCTTTCTTATCTGGCCATTCCTTGCATTATATTTCTTTGCCCTGCCTCCCAGGTTCATTCCCACATACCATTTCATTACCTGCAACCTCTGGTAACCCACGCGAGCCCTCTGCCAGCTCTCCTGCAGCCCTGCTATCCTGCCCACATAACATAGTGTCTGCCTATGGCACCTGCCTCTGCACAGCACCCTCTCACCAGCAACCCCCTCCTCTGCTCCTTGCCTGGGACTCCCTTGTTTCCATTTAATGACCTTCTGGGGTTATGATGACAACTGGGATTGCTAGGATAGGTGTTGCTAAGTGATCTGGTCACATGTTGTTGCACTTTACAACTGTATCGTTTAACAATGGCAGTCCCAGTCCCAATTGCTCTTGTAATTTGAGGACTATTTGTAGCACAGTCCCTTCCATTCTTAACTCTCAGACCCAGTCCGGAAGAATACCATGACTAACAGTATCAAAAGTTGTTGAGGGGCCAAGGAGGGCATGCAGAATTACATGTCCTATATCCGATATTGTCAGAGGTGGTCCATAAGTATAATCAGTGCCATCTCAGACATATATAAAGCCTGAATTTGAACTGAAAGGGGCCTTGTCATTACTTCCCATAGGCAAACTTCCTCTGATCCTGGACACATTTTATTAATATCCTGAGAAGTTGCCCATTTATAATATAATAATCTTAGTTGGGGACTGCTATCATGTGATTCTAAGTTTGATGGTTTTAACTACTCTATGAGAAAAAATACACCTTTAATTACTCTCCACTAGTTTAATGCTAACTCCTTATATATAGGATAATTTTTTCCTCTCTATACTATACATGACGTTTTATCACTCTATCATGTTCTCTGACAGGTAGGGACGCATAGGGATGCGGTGGCTCAATGGCTAAGACACTGAGCTTGTCGATCGAAAGGTTGGCAGTTCGGCAGTTCAAATCCCTAGTGCCGTGTAACGGGGTGAGCTCCTGTTACTTGTCCCAGCTTCTGCCAACCTAGCAGTTCAAAAACATGTAAAAAATGCAAGTAGAAAAATAGGGACCACCTATGGTGGGAAGGTAATAGCGTTCCGTGCAGCTTTGGCGTTTAGTCATGTTGGCCACATGACCACGGAGACATCTTCGGACAGCGCTGGCTTTTCGGCTTTGAAACAGAGATGAGCACCACCCCCTAGAGTCGAATGACTAACACAACTGGGCCTGGTGGCTCAGCAGCCTAAAAGCATTGTGATTAACACCAGCTGTTTGCAATTACTGTAAGTTCGAATCTCAGCAGGCTCAAGGTTAACTCAGCCTTCCATCCTTTCTAAGGTAGGTAAAATGAGGACCCAGTTGTGGGGGCAATAAGCTGACTTTGTATAAATATACAAAAGTATGAAGGCTATTGCTTAACGCATTGTAAGCCGCCCTGAGTCTCCAGAGAAGGGCGGCATATAAATCAAATAAAAAACAAACAAACATATGTGCGAGGGGAACCTTTACCTTTACCATGTTCTCTGTTAAGTTTTTCCCCCTCTATGCTAGCTAATACAATATCCTTTGATAGCACATTTAATCCATTAATTCCTCATTTGGATTGCCATTTTAATATATGTTTAGCACTATAATATTCTTTTGGGAAGATAGCAATTAGAATTGTACTTAGGGTACGAAGTATGGTCATATTGTATTAATTTAAAACATTGTGATACTGACAGTTTTATTCATGATATTATCATTTTTGCTTTTTTGTTGAGTCAAGATTTTAATTGATCTGATCCTTACAAACCCAGGGGTTTTTCCTTCTCAGATTCCCTCAATGCATATCCAGTGCATATTCTAGAAGCAAATTTAAATTCTTGTTAGTTAGGGATTTGCAAAGGAAAAAAAGCTTCAATTCTAAAATACCATTCTTTAATAAACAGAGAGTAGCTAATCACTGTACTTATGTTTTTCCATTTTGCTCTTTTTTGAATAATTTCTTATAATTATGGCTTTGTTTTTCTCTTTTATGTTTCTTTCACTTCTTCTGAATGATCAACCAAGTTTCACAAGGTATGTTTTTATCTGATATTTCCCCCCACAATTTAATTAATTTAAACATAAACACTTTTCCTCAGGGAAAATGTTTCAAATACTAAACTAAGCCTGCATTCTTTTATTATTTCAAACCATAATGCAATTGCTTTGTGTGGGGCTTAGGATATTGTGAACTAAGCCACCAATATTACTAAATCATCACTTTTAACTTTGCTTAAACCCAAAGAAGTGTGATTCATTCAGTAAATCACGATAAAGCAAACCCTACCATAATGCACATGAACCCCATCTTTAAGACCTTGGCCAGAGATCACTGAGGACAATTCCTTGATCCACATGTTTCAGTTTCTTAATCTATGAACTAATTTTGCTTCTTCACATTACGAAGCTTGAAACAAACTGCTTAAGCTTAAAAAAATTTGAATTGCATGGGTTAGAAGCATACTCAGAAAAAAATCTGCAGAAAAATTAGGTGGGCAACCATTTCATAAAATATCTGTGTGGGGAATTATTTTTTGTATGCCAAATGTTGCATTCAAATGTGTCCATTCCTCCTCCCTATCCAAACCTAATGTTAATTTGCTTTCCAATCCAATTCCATTTAAGAATATATATATATACTGGGATCCTGCTGTACCTGATACTATATATATTATAATAGTGGCATTACTTGTAAATTAAATCAGAGTTCTTTTTTCTGTAATTTTCCCACATCTGATTTACAAGCCCAGACAAAACCAATAACAAAAAATAAGTCCTATTAAAATGTATTTACTTGAGGTGAGTAACAAATGAGGGCAATTCTGAAGGGAAGAATATGTGCCAAGCACATACAGTGTCCCTCTGAGCTTCTGTCCTGATTTATCAGCATGCAGACTAGAATGCAAAATATGTGTCAGCTGTTATTTACATGATGTTCCTTGTATCACAGAAAAAAAAATATCCTTAAGCTGTGCTTAAGTTTATTCATCCATGTTTTAAACCACATTTACATATAAGGAACTTTGGAGAAATAATGCTTGCAACATCTTGAGACACAGCTATTTCAGTCTCCTGGTTATGTCCCAGGATGAAGTGAGCAGCATATGAAAACACCTTTAGAAAATGAATGGAAACACTGTTGGCAGTGTAAATGAAGTTTTAATTTAATATGTTATGCCATGGATGCAGAGCAGGGGTACTTTTTGAGTGTCCTTAACAATTAATTCTCTGAAAACTCGGATATGTATCCTGAATAAAATCAAGGAACTCTTGTACATAATTATTTTCTTATTCTTTCACTTTGCCCAGAAAGGCAATGACTATGTCTAAAGTTGCTAGAAATCCTTACCTTCTACCCTAGTAGTTTAATATCTATCTCCACACCCAATTTTTAAAAATCAAATATTGTTTTTATGTTTGCATTTATACTTTGACCTAAATAAATAATTTTCAATAAAATAAAATTAATGGTAGAATTCCCCAGAGACTGACTTTGGTTGCTAATATTCATTTCTACACTCTTAAGCGCAATCACAGAAGAATATTCTCCTCCTATTTCATTAGCTCTGAGCAGTAATCCAAAATATTAAGATTTATCTTATTGCTTAGTGCAGATTGTTTAACCTTCCTTTTCCACCAGAACCTAAGATACTGTTGGATTCCAATGGAACCCAACAATAACTTCCTTTCCATCTTCTTTCTTTCTTTTGTGTGTGTGGTTGAGTATCCAGCAGAGCGGAGGTGCAGATCAGCAGAGAGTGACCTTCACTGATCACTTGGACAGCTAAAACTGCTTATGGAGACTCTGACATGTGGATTTTTGAACTGGCACAGTCAACATGCCAGGATGCCAGCCAAGCCATTCCAAAAGTGGAAGAAAGCCACTGGTTAGGTAGGGATATGGCTGAGGAGGAAGATAACATTTGCGCAAACATCACTGAAGAAGTTACATTTTTTCCATCTTATGGGATGAACTACATGGAAATATTTCACTTTCTTTGTCACTTCTTGAGGAAATGTCCTGATGTGAATATCAAGAAGCAGAGGAAATATTGATAGATAATGTGCAATATATCAAAGCAAACATTTGAAGGGAGATTCCCGCCCCCCCCCCCCAAAGGCATTCTTTAGTGCAGGAAAGTTCAAGTTGTAACTTTCTTGCTTGTGTATGTACTTGTGGGATTTTTTTGGTGCTTGTTAAATAACTGTTTTCTGCAGCCAATTTAAGATTCAGCTTGCTGCTTTTGTAAATCCTGTCATTATTGCTTACCTATTCATGCATTTTGCCACCTTTTACTTTCTGAATGTTGGAAAGAAGCTGTGAACTCTTTGTCTAACCAGAAGCAAGAATTTGGCTTTGCTAAATTTTATTTCCACCATTACTTTTTACAGATGTTTTATTCTAAAGTGTGAGGACTGGGTTTTAAGAGATTATAATATGGAGAACATTTTATTGTATACTATGGAAAATGAAAGAAGAAAGAAGTAATATTTTCTGCTCCCTCAAAGAAACTGTGCCAGTAAATGTTAATGTATTTTGGAAATGTGCGTATAAATGATGGATAGTATTTGTAGCTGAGCTGCAGTAAAGGTGTGATATCTCTCTTTCCTAGTATATGTGCTCATAGGGTTCATTACAGGTAAAACAAGTTAATACTTTTAAGATACTTACAAAAATAAGGCTGACAATTTACTGAAGTTAACAGAAACAAAGCCCTGTTGTGGAATTTGTTGAGCAGAACTCTGCTGTGTTGTTACTTATACATTCCAAGACCTCATAAGAGCTTAACTATTTTTTACCAGCATCCATTCAGATTCTTGGTTATGACTGTTGGCGTCTTTATAGATCATAATGAGAAGAGTTTAATAGACAGATTCCAGTCCTTGTTCAACCATGATGACTTTGGTTCAGTTGCTTTTTCGGCCATAATATCATTAGATTGTTTTGAAAGAAAAAAATAGCTGTTTCTGTGTGAAAATCATTAATGGTAAAATAAACGCATAATATTGTGAGTGAAACATGATGCTTTTTTCTGTTCAGGAAAAATGCTTTCAGGAACTGGAAGTCAACTACCAAAAAGGAGGTTCAAGAATTCTGTCAAGTACATGACTGCTAAACTGTGACTTTTTTGCTCACACATTAGCCAGCTAACAACATTCTATAGACAATCATGATTTTTTTAGTGCCGGATTTGAATTACTGCTGCTGTATTTAAGATATTCATTGCCTATCATTTTAAATGTGTTATTGGTTTGCTACCCAACCCTGAGTTAGATATTTAATGGAAGTATCTTGTCATAAATGAGAGACCTGACATATGCAGAAAACTAAACTAAATATCTAGGAATCTGTAATTTTATCATGTAAAATTACATGATAAACATGATAAACTGTAGGACCAATTCTGATACTTCAGCCCACCTTCCACCAGGTTTGTGAAAACTCTAATTATAATTCAGGTAGCTCTGAAAGCTGTGCAATCTCTGTGCCTGTGACAAGAAAAAAAGGTACTGTGGAAGTAATGACAATGGTGGGAATCCCAGTGGTGGGATTCAGCCGGTTTGCACTAGTCCGGGTGAACCAGTTGTTAAATTACCCCTCCCCCCGCTATCAAAGTGGGTCCTGTGTACTGCGCTGCGCTGCAATGGCGAAATGGATAACGGAGCAGCCAGCACAAGGGAAGGAAAAGGCCACTTTCTCTCTTTCTTCTCCCTGCTCCTCCTTCCCTTGTGCCGGCTGCTCCATTTCCCATTTCTCCATTGCAGCACCGCGCCCAGGATCCACTTTAATAGTGTCTGTGTGTATGTGTGGGTAATTTAACAACCAGTTCACGCCGGGTCCAGTTGGCCATCATGGAAGGCTCGTCCCACATGTGCAGTGGAGCAGGAGGACGGGGATGGGCCTTGTCTCCCACAACAGCCAACCTGACCCTGGCAAACCGGTTGTTAAATTACTTGAATCCCACCACTGTGTGGAGGTTATGGCTGTCCATAGCCTTTGAAAGTGAGCTTTGCAACATAACAAGAACAAGTTAAGCTCTTCCTTGCAAATAAAATAGCTACCTATTTTATTAAGCTCAGCCTCTTTTCTTTAACCCAGTGAAGTCACTGGGCAAGAACCCAAATTTACTTCATGAGAAATAATAACAAATATTCTTTTTTAAAATTTATCATACTTTTATTTTTGCTTGTAAACAGAGAATTCTATTCTCTCTTGCAGTAAATCAAGGGGAAATTGTTTAACATCTTCAAGTAACACAGCATCGCCATAGATGGATTGTAATTGATTGACCAACCAGCCTCAATTTCTAGTCCTTAATGGAACTGCATCTACATGGAGGGAAGTATGCAGTGAAGTACCTCAAGGTTCTGTCTTGAGTCCAGTCCTCTTCAACATCTTCATAAACAATTTAAAAGAGGGGATAAAAGAGGAACTCATCAAATTTGCAGACAACACCAAGTTGGCAGGAATAGTCAACACTCAAAAAAATAGGCTAAAGATCCAGTACGATCTCGACACACCTGAAAACTGGGGCCTATCAAACAAAATGAAATTTAGTGTTGAGAAAAGTAAGGTTTTACACTTAATAAAGAAAATCCAGATATACAATAGGTGATACCTGCCTCAACAGCAGCAACTTTGAGAGTAATCTGGGGTTTTTGTTGAATAACCACTTAAATATAAGACAGCAGTGTACTGCAGCCATCAGAAAGCCAACACAGTCCTAGGCTGCATTAGCAGAGGGATAGAATCAAGTTCACATGAAATGTAAGTACTGCTTTATAATGACTTGGTAAAACCACACTTGGACTATTGTTAGTTGGAACCAGTTTTGGTCGCTACAATGTAAAAAAGATTTTGAGACTCTGGAAAAAGTGCAAAGAATAGCAACAAACATGATTAAGGGACTGAAGGCTAAAACATCTGAAGAATGGTTGCGGTAATTGGATATGTCTAGTCCAATGAAAAAAAGGACTGGGGGTGACATGATAGCAAACTTCCAATATCTAAGGGGCTGTCATAAAGAAGAAAGGGTCGATCTAGTCTCCAAAGCACCTGAATGGGTGGAAGCTAATCAAAGAGAGATCCAACCTAGAAATAAGGAGAAATTTCCTGACAGTTGAAACAATTAATCAGTAGAATAGAATAACAGAGTTGGAAGGGATCTTGGAGGTCTTCTAGTCCAACGTCCTGCTTAGGCAGGAAACCCTACACTACTTCAGACAAATTGTTATCTAATCTGTTCTTAAAAACTTCCAGTGTTGGAGCATTTACAACTTCTGGAGGCAAGTTGTTCCACTGATTAATTGTTCTAACTGTCAGGAAATTTCTCCTTAGTTCTAAGTTGCTTCTCTCCTTGATTAGTTTCTACCCATTGCTTCTTGTCCTACCCTTAGGTGCTTTGGAGAATAGTTTGACTCCCTCTTCTTTGTGGCAACCCTTGAGATACTGGAAAACTGCTATTATGATCCCCCTAGTCCTTCTTTTCATCACTAAACATACCCAGTTCCAGCAACCGTTCTTTATATGTTTTATCCTCGAGTCCCCTAATCATATTTTTGTGAAGCGGCTTGCATTCAGAAATCGTGGGAGGTTTTTAAGAAGAGATTGGACAACCACTTATCTCAAATGGTATAGGATTTCTCCAAATAGTATAGGAGATCTCCAAAATCCCTTCCAACTTAGTTTTTCTGTTCTGTTATGCTCTGTTTTATTCGTCATGGTATAATACATTCATTACCCTTCATGCTGCTTTTATTTTGTTGTAATTCTAGTAATTGGGATTGTATCTTGTCTGGGCTTCAGTGAGGCATCCCTATGAAAAAATATTGCAGAAAAGCAGTACAATATCCATGTAGCTGATTAGTAAGGCACTTATGGGGAACAAAATGGCTCTTAAGATCAATACTCTACTGCCAAAATTGAGATCTTTCCTACCTTACACTTTACCTCCTGTTGGGATTAATGAAGCTTTAAAACTTCTAACAAATCTGACTTTTGGTTGGCTAATACTCTATTTTAAAGTCAGCCAATACTATAATTATATGCTTATTTAAAGTAAAATCTCCTTCAAGGAGAACTCAATTCCTGGCAACTTTATGAAGACATCCATTTAGTTCCCTTGGCAACAGTACAGAGACAGTTTCCTATTACATTCTTCCAGGATGTTTCTCACCTTTCCTGCCTAGCCCACAATCCTGGTTTTTCCTGGTAGTCTCAAATTCTAAACTAATCCAACCCTGTTTAGCTTTTAAGTATAAGTCAAGGTCAGGTATATGCTGCCACCTAGCTGAGGATATACTTATTCACTTCTGTATTTGTATCACGTTGAACAGATTTGTCTTGTTCTTGAGAGGAAGCTGACTTTTAAAAACAAAGTTTATCTGAGCTAGAATTATTTGATGGATATTGATATCTCTGATTTAAATATATATAGGCAATCTATGGCCTTCAGTTGTTGATGAGCTAAACTCCCCAACCAGACCAGATAGCAGATGAGCACTCTTTCTTCAGAATTTGGTCAGAAACATTCACTAAAAGTTTTTTCTGGGGAATATTAAAATTGAAGTAGCCATATTGTCAAGGACAATATTTCTGCATACTGTCAAGATAGGATTATATCCTATTGACTAATTATGTGCCATCATGTTGGTATCAACTCTTAGCAGGAAGAAATATAGACTTTTACCAAGATGTTCATCTCCAGTCTGGACCTTTGGAGTGCACGGCTCATGTAGTTAGGGTACTAGATTGGAGGTTAGCAACCCCACTTAGGAAACCTGAGTGCTATTGTGTGATGGGGTGAGCTCCTGTCATTTGCTCCAGCTCTTTGACGAGACATGAAATCAACCTCTGATCAAGTTCAAAATAATACATACATTCTGAGCAATAATGCCTTGTCATTTTCCATATTTTTAAATGCAATCAACAATAGATTTGATTTGACATAAAGAAGAGATGTGTAAATGATGACAACATCTAGATAGTAAAAATGAGGAATATGCATACACACACACATACATACATACATACATACATACATACCGTGTTTCCCCGAAAGTAAGACCCTGTCTTATATTTTTTTGAACCCTGAAATAAGTGCTTGGCCTTACTGCCATGTGCTCAAAAGCCCAATTGGGCTTATTATCAGGGGATGTCTTATTTTGGGGAAAACAGGGTACATACATGTGCACGCACACACACACACCTCAGTTTCACAGACATTTAACTTATTTTTTCACAGACATATTACTTATTTTTCTTCTTTAATTTTATTCATGTTTAATATTTATTCCTCCTATTTTCTAAATGCTTTCTAATCTAGCTGGCATAAGCATGGAAGCTTCAACAGAAAAATCACTCCAGAGTCAAGGAGGGATGTAAGTCAACACAATACCTCTTGCGGAGCATTAGGGCAAGAAGGACAGCCAGTTTTGAGGGTCCTCTGTATCTGACATTTCAAAGTTCCCAACTTCATTATTTTTAAAGTATCAATTAACTGAGAAAGAATTATAATTAGAATTTAAAGAGCAAAGTTTGTCATTCCATTTTCCTTGCTTGTTCAGATTATTTTTATAGACACTTTATCCATCATATCAGTGTGATGCTCTTTTCACAAGGCAACAGTATCAATAATTGTGTTACAGAGAAGGTTTTGGTTAAGAAAATAGAGAGATTTTTAACTGTTAGATGAACTTTGCAGTGGCAAAACCCAGCTCAGTATGTTTGATCAATTCTTTCATTTTTATATGAGGCTGTTCACCGCCCTGAGTCCTGCTGGAAAAGGGCGGTATACAAATCAAAATAATAAATAAATAAATAAATATGTCCATTTTATTAGTTGCTTTTGGGGCTAAAATAGCATTCCAAACAAGCTTAAAAATCATTAAAAGCAAGTCACTGAAACTAACACAAACTCACAAAAGAGCATCCTTGTGTTCATAGGTCAAGGAATAGGGAGGTTCCACAGATCAAAGCAGGAGAGATGCCATCAGTACTTTAGGTACTGGATAATGTA